GCTCTTCCCACCGTGCATAGGAAGGTCAGCTTTCCACCGTAGATGGAACCAATACTTTTAGATGTAGAACGTACAGACAATGCAACTTTTATTGCTAAAGAACAAAGTGCTGAACAAAATTGTTAAGTTTTAAAACTATTATTGTATTTGACATAAAATGCCAGCCGTGAATAGAGTAAATGGAGCAAAATGTCGTCACACTATTACTTTTATAGCTAAAAATGTCACTTAATTATTTTGTAGCTAAAAATGTCACATAACTTTTTTTCGTAGCTAAAAAATGGCATTTAACTTTTTTTCTTAACTAAAAATATCACTCAACTATTTAAAGATAACTTATCAGTAATTACGTTAAGTTTGTGCATCAAAGCCATGGAAAAGTAACGCACGTGACTTGCACGAGAGACCGTTGAAGGGTAAAAATGCCCGAATTTTCTTTTAGAGACAATTTGGAAAAATGAACAATATTCTCAGTGTCAAAATTAGTTATATTAAAGGATCAAGAACTTTAACTAAAATACATAGAACTGCTAGCTCATGTGTTCTCTGCGGACGCCACCTAAGCTACCGGAGATTATTTGTGCTTTTAGGATTTTTACTGTTCCACAAGGAGAAAACTAGAAGTTAGGAGAAGCTGATATCATTTCTGTGCTTTTAGGATTTTTTTTTTTTTTTTTTGAGACTCTGACTATTTTGTCCTGGAGCTCTTTGCCCGTATCATGCATGCGATTTTCTGGTAGCATTTATGGCCTAAATTTAAAAGGATGACCAAGAAGTTGCGTTGCTTTTAACAGTTGGGTGACACATTTTACTAAGGGAAAAAAAAAAAGTTTAAGTGACATTTTTTACTAAGAAAAAAGTTAGGTGACAGTGAGACATAAAAGGTATTAATTTGATCACATTTTGGCCTGAGGTGAAAATAACAATCACAATAAACAAATCGTACAAATTTAAGAATGAACGGAAACAATTTCTGCTGGCCCTGGCCCTGGCCCGCATAAGAGCCCATCTCACAAAGAGCCCTGAAAGTACTTTCGCCACAACAAAAGCGTGAAAAAAAAAAAAAAGAAAAGAAAAAGAAGCCATCCATAGAGGAGCCAAGTGGCGGGGGCTGTCCCTTTCCGACCGACGAGGAAAACATACAACGTGCCGAGGGAGGATAGGAATCCCCGTATGGGTCCGTTATTGTTTTAAATTAAACCGTGCACGTGGATAGACGTTGCTATCCTCAGATTGCACAAGGAGATAAGGAAATCCAGGTCGACCAATCGTGGATAAACTGAGAAACAAACGCGTAGACTAAGATTTTACGTGAAATATCGCATGGGATGGGAGTTTCCTCCAGGTGTACTAGCCTTCAAAATTTTAGAAATTTGTCGTATGCTGTACATAACAAATGAAGAGGGGGCAGGAACGGGATTAATTGCCTGAAGCCAATTAATATAATGTTTTGCTGCCCAGACATATTAATTGTGTTTGACAATAATGTTGTTCGTAAACCGGATTTGCCAAACTATTGACGGGATTATGTTGGAATGCCTGAAAACATTTTGTGCCTCAGCACACCTTATGTGAGATCATCCTAAACAAAGAATGCTATGAAACTGGATGGAGTCTTTATTCACAGATTTCTTGTGGCCAGTTTTTTTTTTTTTTGTGTAGGAGAATAAGCTCCCATCTCAATCAAGCTTCATAAAAATCGTAATGAATGGCAAAATTTCATGCTCGTATGGATATTGTAATGAAAGTCTTGTACGGTTAATTCTATGTATGCCCCCGTTGCAGTGTGGCAGAAAACAACAACATTAATGTCATCAAGTTTATTGCGAGGCCTTAAACCACATTGATGTTTATATGGTGGCCTTTGATGAGGATTATTTGCATCTTTGTGACTAAAACTTGTAAATGACCTGCTCATAATGCCTTCACAAATTGAACAACAGCTTTGGCGGCATTTGAAGCTGCCAGAGGCCCAAATGAGTAGATTGAATTCTGCCCTTCTTGTGCTCCAGCTTGGTCGGATAGTCCTCGGATGACAATAACCGGAAACCCATTTGACAGACTTGTCTGAAAGGCCAGAACACACACAGAGTTAGTTATCTTGGTTGTTAAAAGGAATGATTCTGAGAAACCAAGATTCAAATCTGTTGAGAATTGAAAGGTATGTGAAAATTGATCCAACGTGGTTGGTTTCTGCATATGTCAAGACGAATTTAGACTGCGGATTTGCAGAACAGGTGACCAAGAGCATGACCAAGCTTTGGTACACCTGAGTTGTAATGGCTGAAATACACTGACAAGAGAAGGGAACTTGCCATGACTACGGCTACACTCTCCATATCCACTGAGGAGACGTGGAAAGTTTTGTATAGGAACTCCCCATAAGCTGCATTGTCCAGGAAAATGTCAGCAGTTGCGCCGCTGAGTCCAACAACTAGCTTGGGCCTTTGAGTTAGGCACGAGCTCGAGTTCACGCACTGCTCCAGCACCATCCCCTGAAACAGGAAAAATAGCACGAGTCTTGAGTATTTTTGACACTTAATAATTGCTAAGGTTTTTCAGGCTTCAGAACCAGAACGAATGCAACGGATCATAAGCATGGTTCGAAGTCTCGGCCGAGACCGAGACAAGATGACTCCAAGATACTTGACTCGTCAAGAACTCGATCGAGTCACCGATAACTCGGCCGAGAAGTCTCCGATACAGATATTCTTGGCCCAATCAGCCCGAGTCAATTCGCAAATTTTCTTTTGCTATTTTTTTTATTATTTTTGTTTAGCATATTTTTTAATATTATGTATAATTTTTAAAATATTAAAATGCTTCAAAATTTGCGTCTCGTCGAAACCATGACTAATATACCAAGACCGATGTGAAACGATTTGCACCGCGACCGCAATCGCGACTGTGACTTTGAACCATGATCATAAGGGAGTCCTATACTAATAAATCTTCGATTGAGAAAGAAGAGGAAAAATACAGAAGATAAGAGAAGGAATAGTGTCGAGTCATTTCTTACCTCAAGATGAGTGTGTGCTAATTCAAGCCAATTCTTGCTTACGTGAAACCAAAGCTTTCTTTGAGCAGTATTGGGCTTTCCCGACTTCGAAAAGAACTGCTCAGTGTTGTATCCAATGCTCCCCAATTCATTATATCCTCCGGAAGGCTCACTGTAGGCTCCAAAATCCAATTCAGTAAAATCACCTACTGGGATTGTCGCATTAGGCTTCTGCTCAGGAAAAAGATTCATGTAAATCAGTCGAAAACAGATGTATTAACATGTTAAAAGCAAGAAATGGAAGTTACGAGCCAATCCCATAAGCCCGCCTGAGCAAACTGCTTGGGGATGGTAACATCTCCTATGGACATGGAATTATTAATACTGCCCGCGATGCCAAAATGCACTACTCCAATTACATCAAACATATCTAACATTTGTTGCGTTGCTGCTGCAGCATTCACCTGAGTGAAACAGGATGACGTTTGTAAGGTTGTCATTGACCAAAAGGGAAACCCAAAAAAATAAGACGAAGTAGAGGAAAAAAAATACATAAATCATAGAAATTAAGCACTTTATGTTGGAAAATTTCTTTCTGTCTAATATTGTTCAGTTCGCTGCATCTAATCTTAGCTCCTTTAGAAAGGCATCAATACTTTCTCATGTCCCAATTCAAAGGGCTCCTATACTTTTAAAAAAACAATAAGAATAATCTGACTCAGCCGCGAACTAGAGAAAATATGAAGCCTACCATTCCAACCCCGCATCTCACATAAATGACTTTCTTTTTTCCCATCTTCCCTACTCGGAAGCGCCTGCCTGCAAGAGAATAGTAGAAACCAGGACCTCTTCCTCAATAATCAAAGTTATATATGGACGGACTTTACCTGACAAGTCGACATAAGGGTGTTTTTGGTGAGGTTTGAATGCACCAGTGCCAAAGAAAGCATCTTCTTCTGGGGGATAAACCGTGATCAAACCAAGATAAGGCCCCCTAAGGTTAACCTCCTTCAGTATTGTTAATGAAGATCCTAATGTTTCTGCTGATGACAGAAGGGCGGACAACGACAGACAACACAACAGAGCGGAAGCAAGATCTATCATCACTAATCCTCTTTCAGTGACTTGTTTTGCAGCCATTGTCGTATTTCTTTTAGCATAGACGATAACTAATGTTTGCTTGGGATTTCTTTTGTGCTCAAGCAGTCAAGGCCTATTACTCAGTCGTGTCTGTCTCTTTCAACTCTTCGAAAAAAGTTTTGAGCATTGAAGAAGGATAAGTTCATATTTGGCTCATTCATTGGATTTTCAACCATACTTGCATGAGTCCACATCTTCCATTCAAAAGTTTGACTAATTGGATCTGACCAGAACTAATACGTTATTGCCACTAGGGAGTAGGGAAAGGTCTGAATCATTGAGGGAGAAGGTAAAATGAAATAGTAACCGGCAACTTTTGACAATTTATGACAACATTTAACATGTCCCTCCCTTCTGGACAGCTCGTTTGGTCGCGACAGCCCCTTGAAAGTCATTGTCCAACTCTCCCACCAGGGTTCGAATCCCAGCGATTATCGTGTTCGAGGGGAAGGGACCTTTCCTCCTGGGCCAGAGTGGGATTAGTCGGGCCCCGTAAGGATTGACCCGGACATTCACTCCGTTAGAAAAAAAAAAAAAAAAAAAAGGACGAACATTTGACATGAGGGCAGGCTTTAGGAACAGATTCTCGCAATCAGCAACAATAAGCAAATACATTGGCTTCAAAGCGTACAAGCAAATTCAATCAAATCCCAGAACATTAAAGAGCTTCAAGCGATGGCTTAAGAACCCTCCCTGCACTCTAAATTCTTGCCCACCCTTCTTTCTGGATGCACGTAACATTGCTTGTCTTTGTTCTTACATGCATATAGAGGTTGGGCATTTAGTTGAAAGAAAACACTCTTGAAGCACCAACCGACCAAGGAGCCTTGCACACAGTCATATTCTGTAGTACAAACTTGAATATTAAAATACTCTGTTGCACATTAACTGAAAGTCATGAAGCAAAAGAAGATGGGTGTTGGAATTTTGTTGAACCAAGACAGAAGCAGATGTGAAATTTTAATCACTTTCTTATAGTAATAAAGTTCCTCTGGAGCATCCAAATGTGTTCAGATCCCCGTGTTCCTCTACAATATCGTTACATCGAAAGAATATGTTGTCAAAATCATAACAGAATTCACCGGTTCTGAAGGGCCTCTATTGCTTTCTTCCACTGAAGTGCTCTTTGTTTTGCATCCTCAAAGGACATGACTTTCTTCGGCTGCATCATCACAAAATACGTATTGGTTAGAAGCTCAGAAGCAAGCACATTGGAATATGATTGGACTTGAAAATCTCATTTTACAGGTAGACATGCCCCCCAAGGGCAAACATACCGTGCAAATCTTAAAAAGTGAAGGGCTAGTAACTTGAATGCTGAGATCGTTGGGATTGTCGGACCATATTATATTCCCCTTAACCACCAACTTTGCAGGGTCCACGTAGATCAACTTTGGTTTGTTGGTGAGAATAAGCTGTACTTTTTTGCTTGTTAGCTTCTGAAGTTTCTTAACCATAGAAATCATAAGAACAGATTCACCCGGCTCCAAAAACTGTTTCCTGGTAAGAGATAAGAATGCGAGATTTTACTAAATATGACAGCAGAAAAGGAAGGAAAAAATAGAAAAGAGGGACGGTGACGGTGACGGTTAATGATATTGATGCTCCCATAAGATGAGACTTGGTGGTAGGAGGAAACTGTCACTTGTAATGAGCTGAGTGTTACATAGTTGCGGTAACACATCTGAATAAAATAAAGGAAAAATCTATTCTCTCCACCCCTAGCCGATCAAAATATACACCCCCTCTAAAATTATTTTGAGTCTCCAACCAGACCATAACAATAGTCTAATCTATAGGCTATACCGGGATCATAACGGTTGTGATGCAATTTCAAGGCAAAATATGCTTTGATTTCTGTTAGAACCTAAATGGTAGGATCTTTAAGTTAGAGAATAAAGAAGTTTGAAAAGGTGTCCTGAGCATATCAATATGGTCGATAGATATTTAAAAAAATAACAACTTTTTTTGGATGCATATTTTCCTGATCCTTTGAACAAATTTCAATTTTAAAACCAACAAAAGAACTACTCTGATTGTCTTCTGACACTCCTTTTTACCATAAGCTCATTGACTTCTTCCCTCCCTCTCAGACACACCAACACAGGCACACGTGCATTTACATATCCAAACATAGTCAATATGCATACTTACACACATACATATACCAATTGACTACCTAGGCACATCACAGCTTTAGATAGTCACAATTTGCTCTCCCACTCCTTTCAAGTTGCAACTTTCTTTGTTTATCAAATTCTAGGTTCTAAACATCATGTCAAGCAAACAGGAAAAGTCTCATATAAAACGTAAGTTGTCTAGCACCACTGAAATTAAATGCCAAAAAAAAAAAAAATCAACTGTTGGTGGAGCAATATCACACTCCTGTTATCAAACTCACCATTTGGAGTCAAAGGAATCAATTGAAGCAAGTCTAGTTATGCTACCAGACTCAGAAGATGAGGCAGCACCTCCATTTCTATCATTTGTTTTTGCTGAACTATCTCCAACATGTGATGGGTTCCATGCAGATTCATGACCATCAGGCCCACTAGATGGAGCCTAAAAAAGAGATAAGATGGCAATGAGAATTATTCAATGAAAACAAAACAATCAGTTGAGAGTCATAGCAACACATACTTTAAGCTCCGATGCAAGTCTAGGAGGGGTTTGTGATCTCAAATTTGTCCAATCAATCCCCTCAAAGAAAGGATGCTTCTTAAGGGAAGAATAACCATCAGGTCCAGCCCCTGGCCTCCTGCCAGGATCAATATCCTGTATTGTTCCATTGACACGTATGTTAGGTGCTTCACTGATGAAATATCCATCAAAACACAACGATTTTAATTTTCAAAGATTTTAAGATATTTGAAAACAAACAATAGAAGGGAGATAAGGGAGTAGTGGAGGACAACTGTTGTAAGTGAACTACAAAAGCAAAAGAATTGCTAATGTTTACTGGTTTTGCTCTCATACCTTTAAGCTACACCTGGTAAAACCCTAAAGAAAAACCATAATGAGCTATTCCGCCAGCACTTTTCAACAACATTCCTTTTTTACCTTGGCTCCATGCTTCAATTTTCAAAAGCCACCACTGCTAATTAGTTTGGCATCCAAATAGCCTCTAAGGCCAGATTAGTTTCTATGAAAAGAATAAGCCACACCTCTGAGTTCTGACAAAATATACCAATTTCAAAATTGGTTCTGACCCTTAAGACATATATGGTTCCTCAAGAAAAGACATCCGAACTTGAAAAAGGAAAAGGAACAATTTGCAATTAATTATCCCAAAGTTACGCTATAATTTTACGAGAGAATATGACAAGATTTGAGCCCTTGATGTAATTTGAAGGCAAAATGGAGCTGTCAACTACACTTTGTCCATAAAAAAAGCACGCATATGTTTGGAAAATACAGGACTATTCCAGCCTTTCCTTCTATATGACTTTTACAAAATAAAAGAAAGGATAGTGGGAAAACCATGATGAATATACCTTTGGAAATTCAGCAAAACTGTTGCAACCACTTTTCTTTACTTCAAATTATGCATGAAATTATGAAAATGATAGTGGATAGGCAGCATAGGTACAGGTATATGTGCCTTTATACTTAAAATGAAAAATGAAATAGAAGACAGAGTAAAAAATACAGCTTATATTATTTCACAAAGATCAAGGGGTAATTGGGTCTATCCGGAACTAGATGAAAATGCAAATAACTGAGCTTACCAGCAGTCGATCTATAATATCTCTGGCTTCTGCAGAGAAATAGTTTGGAAATCGGATATCCCTAGCAATTATTCTCTGGAAAATGAGCCATTCACTTGCATCTTTAAAAGGAGAAGTTCCTGAAAGCATTTGGAATAACGTGCAGCCAAGTGCCCAAAGGTCATTTCTGGTTCAGTATAACCAAATGGGTCAAATAAAAAAAGTTAGGCAGCCAGAGAGATAGAATGATAATAAGTAGTACTAAGTAAACATAGAGGAACCAATTCTTGCCATATTTTCAAATTTGTAGTCCACTACTTAACAAGCTGACATTACATGAAAATATCTATCTAAATGGAATGAAAGAAGGTTGTAGGCCTTCCAAGAGGTAACTACCTTACCCGAAAGTTGCAGGAGATGAATTTAAAACTTCTGGAGGGACATAAGCAGCTGTTCCCACAAAAGTACAAGCTTTGTCATCTGGAATAAAAATAAACAAATCAATTCATTACATTAATCTGCATACCAATCAGTAATCTCACCATCAATGAATTTTCACTAAGAAAGATGTTTTAGTTTTCCTGAATGAATAATTACAGAAGGTTAGTTTACCCGATGCTGCATTTGGAAGAACTGTTATTCGACTATCTTGCATAGGCTTTACACTCCCAAAATCAGCAATTTTAATATGCCCATCTTCAGTAAGTAGCAGGTTCTCTGGCTGCCATTAAAGAAATTATTATCATTTCCTATATTCCAATGTAAGAGCAATATATCATGCAAAATACCTTTATATCTCGATGTATCAGCCCCATGCTATGTATATATTCAAGAGCATCTACAACTTCAGCTGCATAGAAGCGGGCCTCATCTTCTGACAGACGACCCTTCTGCAACAAAAGAAACAAGATATATTGGGGAAAAGCTGACCAGGCAGGCCAGAAAAGATGCTCTTTAAATACGACACTGTTCACAATCCCAGCTCAACAGGGCACCCAACAGGTCTCAAGTTCAAGTCTCAGGCCCTCCCCCTGCCCCTTCCAGTTCCCCTTTGTGAGTTATGGAGTCCCCAGTGTACCAAATAAGCAAAAGAGAAATAGGAGAACAATCTTGCAAATGAAATTTCAGATAAGATTGTTCCACTATATCTACAAGGATCAAAGCAAATAAACCTTTATGTCTGAAAATGTTGAGGAATGCTACATAAGTGAATCCATGTAGCTCAAAAATTTTGCTGCATCATATATTGTTTGGTGCCACATGTTAAAGTTAATTTTGTGCCTTAGAATTTTGGATCAAGTACACTTCCATGTAGGATTGACATCATATTACTACTATTAAATGAATAATAAGCTAGATTTTGACATCCACTTACCCTGGTGATTTGATCAAAAAGTTCTCCACCTTCACAGGACTCAAGTGCCATATCTTCAAATGTAATAAAACAAGAATATACTTATGTCAAATTACTAAGCAAGCCATGAAAAAGCTATGGAATTCAAAATGGAAACGGTGGGGAAAAAAACACTAAGCCAACACTGTGATTTTACATGGTTGAAGGAAGCCAGCAAGAAGCAAGAACACTCACACAGAGAATACGTGTCTTGAAATGTGAAAAACAATCGCACCACACCAGGATGGTCTAACTGATCAAGTACAATGCGTTCCAATTTTACATAAGCAGTTTTATTTTCCTTGGTGATAAATTTTTTGTCCATGATCTTCAAGGCATATATAGTTCCCGAGTCTTTCTTCCTTGCTCTAACAACCTGTAGGCATCAAGAATTGGTTAGAATTAATTTCGCTTAAATATCAAATTATGAACTTCAATCCCATCAAAAGTATGCATTACACAATAATAAATTACACTTAAAATTGTATATACTCAACAACAATCCAAATAATCTTTGTTTTTGGGAGACCTGAAAAGTGGATCAGGGAAGGAGATAAGCAATTGCAACTTATGATCTTAGACAAAACAAACTCCCATTTATAACTAACTGATACAAACCTAATTGTAACAAGAAGATGGAATTTGAAATGGCTTCTCTTGGCTTCTGATAATCAAAAAGCAAAACATAAAAGCGCAACAAAAGGTAAGGAAAATCATTGAAGTGAATGAGACAAAAACACATGCTATCACCAGAAAAATAACATTGCAATAGGTTTAAAGTTTTGACACATTGAAATTTGTGTCCTACATGTAATTCTCTCCATCTAATTTCACTATACACCATGAATTCCAGCGTACAATCACTACTGTGATTTCTGAGGATGCAAATCCTCAAAAACCCATCCTACAGGTCTCTAAACCTCACAATTTATTTGCCTCTGCACAATTATCTTACGAAATTACACCTACCTATGTTTAAGCACAAATTACTTCCCCATTTATTCACCAGCATTATCTTTTATTCTTTAACCCCAATGAACTCACTACCTATATGTAATTGAATCCATAAAAATAAATAAATTAAAATATACCATGAAACTTGAACTTAGAAACTCTTCTTGCCAAGGCCTCAACATCTAAATTTTTGCCACGTTAAAAAAATAATAATAATAAGAACCTTATTGGCAAGAATAAAACTCCGCCATAAAATAACATCAGAAAATAGCCCCAGATACAAAACATCTGTCTAGTTGAAAAGTTACTTTTATTCCATTCAAACAAAATTTAAAAAAAAAATCCAGTAAAATATTGATAACTATTTTCAATACCTAGATCCTTTTCTTACACCAGTACTCTGCATATAGATATACATTCTCATGCAAAAAACCAGTACTCTGTTGATTATTCTTAATTGACGAAAACAAAACACTTCTATTTTCACGACATGAGCGCATTAGCTGAAGGTAAAGTGATTTAGAAGCTCTGGACGGGGATTTTCCTACACATTTAGATTGGGATATTTTGAGGGAAATGGAAAGTTCTGAGGAACTGGAGTCTTTGGAAATGGAGGAGGTATGACCGTGCTTCTGTTATGCATTGCAAATTTCTTTTTGCCCTGTTTTGTTTTTTCCCAGGTTGTTGGAATTACTGTTGGGTAGAACATTATTGTAATACTCGCAGATTGAAGAAAGAATGGAGAAAGCGATTGGTGATTGGGATGAATTATATCGTAATGCTCGAAAATCTGAAAAGCTTAAGTTTGAAATGAATGAAAGAGATGAAGGAGAGCTGGAAAGGACTGGGCAACCTTTGTGCATCTATGAGATTTACCATGGAGCTGGAGCTTGGCAATTTCTACATCATGGTTCTTTGTACCGTGGGTTGAGTCTGTAAGTTTTTTTGATCCAGGAACACTGGCTTATATTAAGTCATCTGTTGCAACATGAACTAAGAAGAAACTATCTTTCTAGAGCAAGTTCAGTAATCTATTCTATTACCTCGTCTGTGTTGCTGACACTTGTGTGTTTCTTCTAGTAGAAATTGCTGGTTTTCTTACTTTGAATAATTGTTATCCTCTTTTTCTAGGCTGTGTTTTGCATGTAAGTTTTGTAGTTTGTCAGTGCTAATACTGGTAAATCTCCCCAGTCTACTCGGGCCAGAAGATTGAGGTCAGATGATGTTGATGCAGTTGCTCGGCTTCCTGTCCTGAATGACACATATTACCGAGACGTACTTTGTGAGATTGGAGGCATGTTTTCAGTTGCGAATGGTGTTGATAATATCCATAAGCGACCTTGGATCGGTTTTCAGTCTTGGCGTGCTGCTGGGAGGAAGGTGTGCCCTAATTTTTCATGTATTTCAGAGGAATTGTCTTTCTGGCTAACCTTGCTTCTTTTTTATTCTAGATAATGAAATATCATATATTAAAATTGAGGTTCTAATGCCTGTAATGGGATTGCAAGATAGTGTTGTCAAAATAGTTTTCCTTTACCATTAATTGTTATTTTTGTAATCAAGCAAAAGAATATTTTTCATCTGAATGTCTTCTGGCCTACAATATATGACAGGCTAGTCTCTCTACAAAAGCTGAGCAGGTTCTGGAAGAAGTAGTACAAAGAAATACTAAAGGAGATGTGATATACTTTTGGGCGATGTTGGACATGGATGGTGGATTTATGGGAGGAATGACGTGCTTACTTTTTGGTCCATGTGTGACATCTTAAATGGAGGAAACTGCAGGTTAGAGTGTTTTGGGAGACACATGACCTACGCTGTTTTTATAGCTTTTCTTAGTTTTACATATCATTTAAAGACTACAGGCATCTAAATTTTTCTCCCCTTTTAAAGATGCTAAATTACATAGAATATGAGAGAATCTTCTCTCTTCAAATTTGCATTTTTTTTTACTTATTAAGCTAGTGTTTGAAGATTGTGTTGCTAAATTTTTTTCATTTGAATAATTCAAATTTGCAGAAGTGCCTTTGAAGATGCATTCCGTATAATGTATGCCCTACCGTCACATGTAGAAGCCCTTCCACCCATGCCTGAAGATGGAGGGCGCTGGTCAGCCCTACATAGCTGGGTCATGCCAACCTCTTCTTTTCTGGAGTTCATTATGTTTTCCAGGTAATTTCCCTGGAGTAACACATTGCTTAACTTTTTGGCAATTTAATATCATGATTAAGATGCCACGGCTGAGGTCGTTGGTTGCTTTACCTTCATTTTGTCATCTGACTGAAAATTCCTTTGCATATTAGGATTTTTGTGGATTCTCTCGATTATTTGCATGTAAATTCAAGCAACATGACTTCTTGTTTGTTGGGTCTTCAGTGTTGGAGGTAAGTATAGACCAAAAGTTATCTGTAATCAAGAAAATGACAAAATGAAAGTTTCTTATGCTGAAATTGTGACACTTCTACCAGAAGCAGCATTGTTACTGTCGGGTGATGGAACTTCTGGTCAACGTATGGGCATATCATAGTGCACGTAGGATGGTTTACATTGATCCCCACTCAGGTTTGCTGGAGGAACAACATCCAATAGAACAACGGAAAGGATTTATGTGGGCGAAGTACTTGAACACCTCATTATTGAAAAGTATGGATGAAGACCTTGCTGAAGCAGCAGATGACAATGACCATCCATATGAAATGTGGTTATGGCCGTTAACAGGGGAAGTTTACTGGCAAGGTGTATATGAGCGTGAGAGGGAAGAAAGATATAGGTTGAAGATGGACAAGAAGAGAAAAACAAGAGAGAAACTACTCGACAGGATGAAACACGGATATGTGCAGAAGGCACTTGGAAGATTGAAGCTGTAGATCTCAGCAGGAAGAGTTGAAAGTTTTGTTGGAATTTCCTATTCCTATTGTCGTCGAGGAGGCGAGGTGATAATTTTTCTAAGCTTGAGCATTCGGGGTGCCTCAATGCTGATAATGGAGTAAAGTGATTGTTCCTTAACAGCATCAAAGGTAGTTGGAACTGACTTGTTCTTCTGACGTTACTGAATACATTAAACGGGGGTCGCAGGTGCCAAGATACACTTGAAAAAAAGCAAGCTAAGCTAGAATGACATACCAACAATTTTGTAGCCAACATAGCTAGCACACAGGTATAAATTGCACGGCCTTCAACACTACTCCAGATCTAACTGATTTTGGCTGGAATTCTTTAGACATACAATCGTATTCTTTTCACATGTACATATCCTTTGAAATAACGATCCAATTCTTCTGAAAAGCCCCTTTTTGGCTCTCTGACTTGTAACTACTAAAACCAGGACACCCTCGACTAGAGGTTTACAATTTTGACTGACTTATGGGCTGCTATTGTTTGAGGGGCAGATTTCGTGCTCGTAGTATTTATAGGAAAATGGGTTTACAAAGGCACTATTCTTCCAAATTTGTAACTGCTTGCAACCCACTATTGGTGCGATGTTCTTTCATACAATTTGACAGGATTATGGTACCTTATGTGCACAGTTAACTTATGACAATATCAAGGGATACTCTGTTCCTATTTCCTAGTACTTTGATGATTTTCAAGGCGAAACCAAAAGGCAAACCCAATAACATTTTAACGAGCACATTCTAAAAGCCTTAAATGCAAATAGGATTGGAACACCAAGCTCTGGTTTTTTAGCGGTGTCAAATTTGTCACATTTTATTTGCCCAATTTCCCCTGTTTCAAATGGGTTTGGGCCACCCAGATTCATTGTCAGGCTGATCCGTGTAACTCATTTTCGGACACATAGCTCTATTTCCACTCGTCCCTTTTTGCCAAATTTGCTTGAAATTTTCAGCGTTTTTTTCTCACAGAAAGTGTGACGCTTGCAATTTCAATTGCGCACTTCTAATTTCAATGCCTGATTTGGGGAAATTCTGGAGCAATGTCAGTAGAGTGCCCGGTTTCACTGACTGCTTGATCGGAAACTTCTCTTAAGAACTAATCAATGTCCATTAGATCGGTCTCACTTGACCACTACAAGCAAGGAAAAACCGAAGGAGACTATTTATCATTTAAAAAAGATGTAGCAAATTTTATTCTCCTAAGATAGGCTTAAGAGACACGGAGTTGAAAGTGCACGACGATTAATGGTCCATAAATTTTCAATTGAACCATTAATATAATAGAGTATGTTTGGATATAATATTATTATTTGGGATAATTTTTTGAATAAATATTATAACACCTTTTTTTAACGTGATGTATGTAAAATAAAATTTTTATAAAATATGTTTAACAAATAAATATTACAAATAATAAACTGTCCAAACAAACATAAGATAAAAAAAAAAAAAATTGAGTAGCAGCAAGAAGATCCTGATTGATGTTTGAACACATTGCACTATACGAACTGATTGAGTAATCAGTTCACTAACCAAAACCTGCAAGCAAAAGATTTAGAAAACATCCAAAATCAAACACATAGAGACAAAAAAAAAAAAATGGGAAGAAGAAGGATTCGACCAGGATAATATATAGTCATTTCAACATTCGACGGACATTTTTTTTTCCTTTCCTTTCGTTTTATTTTTGTCTTTTCCTCGGTGACTCTTGAAATATTAATTTAATGTATAGTAATAATTTAAAAATAATCCCCCCATGCCAGCCAGTACTAAAATCCTGCCCTCCCTCATCGTACGCCTAATTGGGAATGTTGGGCTGAGCAGCAAAAACCGTGTAGGGTTTTCGGCTCCCACTCCAAACCCCTACTGTTCCCTGTTCACACCTGAAGACTCATCTTACGCATCTGCTTCTTCTTTCAGGTGACACCCATTTCTTGCATTTCTAGTTATCAAATCACTGACTTCTTTATGGACTTTAGCTTATCTTACTTTTTTTTATCGGTTTTTTGTTGACAAAATGAACTGGCCGTTCATTCTCTGCTGTTTCCCATTTTGGTTTTCTTTTGAGGAGCAACACTGTATGCTGAAGTTCTTGTAATTTTTTTCTGAATCATTTGTTGTTTTCGTTTCAAATTGGGATGGGCTTGCAAAGTTGATGTCCCACTGCATTTCTTGGTTGCTGGAATGTGGAGGAATTAGTAACCCAAGTTATTTTCTTCTCTTTTTTCTATTTAGACATGAATGCTGGAATGCTAGTGGAAAATTTTCAATTCAGCTAATTTTTTTGGTTGGGCATTATGTGGGCCAGCCAATTTTTTTTTTTTTTTTGGGGTTACAAAAAATTTGTCTAGTCTATATGCTTAATTGTTTTTTCCTTTTGTGTTGGGGTTTGAGCAGAATGCTGGCAGAAATATGATTAGTTTTGTGTCAAATCAGTTGACATTCTTCGAAAGAACCAAAGAGACGCTCCCTTAGAATACTAATGAATCTTATTCTCTCTTAATGTATATGCATATAAGGAGGCCGGTCTTTTGTTATCTTACAGAGAAATAGAGTCTGGAAAGTGATGAGATAAACTCTGCAGTTCATAGGTCTTTGAATGTGTGACATGACATATACATGCGGCTAAGAAACCTATCTTTTATGTTGCTTGTTTACCCCACGAAAGGCATCAACTGAAAATTATTCTAATCACCTGAAATTCATATCTGTGGTTGATGTGTAGACATGCGTTGTACAGTCACTGACTTGCAACGATCCTAAACTATCGAAGAAGTAAGCAGTAGCACCCTGTTTTTGTATTGCCTTTTTTTATGTTCTTGGAGCTTATAACCAAAATTTCACATAACCAAAATTTTCAGATGATGCATGCAATCAAAGGTGGATGGGTTGGGCAAACATTTGCCCTTGCTGCATATAGTGACTCTGGAGGGAGGAAGGCAAGGATTAGGCGTTCAAAGGAGGAGAGGAAGGCAATGGTTGAGTCTTTTATAAAGAAGTAACCTTTTCAAACTTGCTCTTTTTATGAAGAGAATTTGTATATTATTTACATTACAATGGTGATCTATTTTGTGCATGTGTCTGTGTATTTCTTTTTTAATCATCACTATTAAATGTTCACTTTTTGCATAAGGATGATTGTGTTAGCATGTAAACTTTTGTCATCTGGTCCTTGAGAGTAATATAGATTGTGCTTTTCCCAAAATGAGAAATCTCTTTGTTTGTTGTTTAGGACTAGAATTCATCTATTTTAGTTTCCTTGACCATCCACATAAATAGGAAGAAGAACTTATTTCATTTAGTTTCTTAAATTGTTCCTTTTTTACTAAATATACTCGCTGACGTCTTCACATTTCTTGGGTCAATTTCTTACAGATATCAGAACTCAAATAATGGAAATTTTCCATCTTTGAATCTTACACACAAGGAAGTTGGTGGTTCTTTTTACACAGTTCGGGAAATTGTTCGAGAAATTATTCAAGAAAACAAAGTATTAGGTCCAGCTAAGTTTTCAGAAGAGCAGAGCTACGATAATGTTTTGGAGCATTATCCATTAGGATCCATTTCCATTGAAGCTCAAAGAAGTTCATTACCATCAGATGAACTGAAAAGTGTATCCATATTTCATCCAAACAAAGACAGGGTACCGGTGAAGAACTTGTTGCAAATTCTAATGGACTATTCTTTGGGTATGAGCATCAAAATCTAGATAGTGATCAAGTAGTTAATGGTGTAATTGAGACAATTAAAGATGACGTGGGATCAGATGGACCAAAAAACGTAGCTCATACTTCATCCAAACAAAGTCTGGATAGTGGTGAAGAAGTTGTTGCAAACTCTAGTGGACAATCCTTTGTGTCTGAGCATCAGAAACTACACAATGATCAAGTAGTTAATGGTGCAGTTGAGACAATTAAAGATGATTTGGGATCTGATGAATGCAGTTTAATTGAAGCTGCAATCCTACTCATGAAGGCACAAGTGATGAAATCCTTGAAAATTTGAGTGGGCAGTTGACAGGACCTGATTGTCAGGAGTTTGACAGCAAACCAATTGGATGTTAGTGAGCCAACTGACGAGGATGAAGAATCTAATGAACCAGTTATACGTAGTCCTGTGTCTATACCTAATCCCAGAGTTATTCAAGAAGATCACCAGGAAAGTAGGGGAGAACAAGTTGTACATTCTACATAGAGATTTTCCTGGAGATGGCCATCTGAAAGCAGACACGGAAGAAGATGTCAATGGGATTAGTCAGGCAATTGGAGAAACTGAATATGAACAACCAGTATTGGCAGTGGCTGTAGGAGAAGATAGCCTGGATGTCAACAAAGGTGGTACTAAAACAGTTGAGTCATCAAATGTTGGTATGACTCGTGGGCAAGCTGACATAGTTGTCGAAAAATTTCCACTTCATCCCATTGCTAGGAAATTTGATGACTTGGAAGGAAGATTAGAAGAACAAAGTCAAGGAACTAGAACTCTGGAGGTAAACAAAATTGAACAGGACAGCGTACAAGTTACAGAGCACTCTTGTAGTGCTGTGCAGGTGGAAGCTGGTGCAGACCTTGCTGTTTCAAAAAGCAAGAGTGAGCTGGTGGGTAAAACTGCCAGCCTAAATGATGGGAATCCACCATTGGAAATGTCAAATTGCTCTGCAACCAAAAAAGTTCCTGTATTTGACATGAGCAATGCTGCAGAAATCGGAGCAAAGGTCTCTTCCCCCACTGAAGCAAAGGTATTTTACTTATGATGTATTTAATATATCTTTTGCACATGGCTTGGGATGTATGTCTTTGCATCCCTAACTTTGTGCTTATTAAAGGGCTTAAATCTTGTAGCTGTGAATAAGATGTAGAGGGACTTTGGGCTATGTGACATCTATGTGCCAATGAAAGTGGTTATTTCCTGTTCCTAGTCCTGATTGGTTGAATTCATTGGGAGGCCTTGTAATGGAAGTATATATACGGTCATGTTTGAAAATCAGATGAGTGGAGATGCAAGTGAAACTTACACTTTGGTACTGTAACACTACGAGGTTAAAAGTGTAATGCACTCAGATCCCGGATGAACTCTTCTGATTGCATTACGGTGAACCTGGGTACTTATGATGAGTCTTGCAGCCTGGAGCTATCTTGATCTTGCAATTTGGTAGAACCTCCATTTGTGGTTGTCTTGTTAATTATTCTTCAGCTGTCGCAACGTGGATATTAATGAACTTGTCAGTACTAGTTTATTAAGTCTAATGAAGGTAATTTAAAATTTGGTTGTAACTAAAAATTTATTATGTTCTGAAGATGAAAGGTCACAATTTGGTGGGGTTTCATTAAAGGTGCAGCAGGTATGGTGGCCTATACATAGAAAAATTGGAAGGTGGCTACTTGTGTTTGGCTATCACATACTGTAGCTGTTGCACATTTTATTCTTTTCCTATTGGGTGGTGCTAATTTCTCTGACGTTATTTTACAGCCTGCGAATGTTCCAACGGGTACCAATGAGAAACATGGTGACATAAATGCTGGTGTTTCTCATGAACAGTCCATTCCAGATGAAACCATTGGAATAGAAGACAAACTAAAGATCGAAGGTGATAGCAGCTCCAAGGAGGGAAGCAATCCTACATTAAACAGAATTAACCTGTAAGTATCTTTTGTGGCATCTCCTAGGCCTTTTTGCATACAGTTCAAGATGTCACTCTTTATCATTTCAGAGTGATCAGTTTCAACATTCCCCAGTCCCCGGACTGCCCCACCTATGTACTGTTCATTTAGCCTCACCCAATTGAGTTTCCCCTTTGCAGTGAAACATGGGAAAGGACATCAGAGCTGCCCGCTGAATCTGAAGTAAATCCAGTTTTTGCATTCTTCAAGGCGCTTGTTACTGCTTTTGTGAGATTTTTGAATGGATGAGAGTTTACGGGGTGTTATAATGTAGCTTTTGAGAGTATCTGCAGGGTGTTAAGCTTAGTGTTTGCAGCTTATGGGACACTTTAATTCCATGATATTATGATATCTGGTAACGTACTTAATGTATATGGTGGTTGCTGCGGTCAATTACATGATGCTTGTATCCCTGAAACCTAGGTAGAAGAGGAGACCTTGCTAGATGGATGTCATCAAGGAGCTGGTCCATCATTTCAGCTTCTTGATGACCTCCCCTCATCTGCACCATTAAAGTTGGATGGAACAAGTGTAAGCATGGTCTGGATAAATCTACATTTGCTTCTAATAAAAAGTAAAATAGCTTGAAGTAGTTGTATGATCTCCTTGTATCCTAAGAAATATCGACAGCATAAATAAATTGTCCATCAAGTTGTGATAAATCCCAATTTTCCATGGGAGACACTGTTAGCAGAAAAGGACATAGTACTGTTTAATAAAGAGCAGCCCTACTCATTCCACAACAGAAAATGGTCAACAGATGAGTGGTTGCTGTTTATTATATTTAGATTAGAAGAAAAAAGAAGAAGAAGAAAAATCCCTTTCCATCCCCAGCTCCACTGGAAAAGTGACGCAGCAGTATTCCAGGAACAGAATTCAGTCCACCACATTTCATACGATCGCGGATGGCTGAGAAGGTCTTGTTCTTAATTCTTTCTTGTAGATGCTTTCCAACTGTTAGCGCAAGACTAAAGCTTGACCATTCTGGGATCTTTTGCTTTATAATTACGTTGCTTGCATCACATGGATGTGTTAGTCCACCTAAAAGCAAGGCATTCCCAGTCTAGAAGGGATTCATTATTACATCTTCCTTTTTGCAAGGGTGAGATTCTCGAGCGAGACTTTAACTGAGGTCTACTTTTCGTTTTCGTTCGCCATCAAAGCATCATTGGGTTTGGTCCATAGACTACTCATTGAGGTTGTCAATTAAGAGTCCAAACCGGGCAATCGATTCCAGCTCTGCTAACGTGATTACATTACTGCCAGGAAGTAATTGAAACTTAGAAAAAGAGCCTTTTCCTTTTCCTCTGTTCAATTGGATGTAGTATTAGCATGTATGAGGGGTCACTGCTTTTTTCTTTCTTTTGTTTTTGGTAGAGAATAAGAATAGAAGGGCTAAAACTAAGACCAGTCCAACTCCAATACATGAAGGGATTATATGTGCAATAATTTGTTTGATTATTTAGGAACTTAGAATTGATGTCTGCATGAAGCGTTTCAGCGTTTTGTTTGGCATGGTGTCATGATTTTGCTGCCAAGTTGTAACAAAACGAACTTATAGTTTTTAGACTTTAGTTTAGTACAATGCTCACATTGCTGGAATACAGCCAATCGGGAGCAAGCAAGAGATGCCCACATATTGATTAAGCTTCCCTGGCTTTTGCAACAGAATCTCAAGTACTAAATATGTTTTGTTCCATGCGTTAAAAAAATCAAAGGTTCACAAATGTACATCTCTCTCTGCACACATGTATAATGGCAGGATTTCTCTGTTCAAAAAAAAATATATATATATATAGTCATTTCTATAAGAACATAAGAAACAACAATAATACTCTATATTTTGATGTTTGTTTGAGGGTCGGTTTGTGATTGGTTCTAAAGCTTGTGTGACAAAAGGCAAAGGATATTAAAAAGAAAGAGAGAAAGGTGTGAAGCAATCTCGAAGCAAGGAATAAAGTGGAAAATATAAACTAAGAAAAAAAATCCAGTAATCTGTAATTCATCAAGACTCAAGAGCAAGACTAAATTAAAACCCCCAAAACCTCCGCAAACTAAAAAAATATAAGAACAACGGCAAAGCTATCTTACTATATTATTAATTTTCTTCAAACTATTGAAATACTAGAATTCAATGCATTGTACACAAATAAATTTAACAAAGCTATATATATAGTAGCAACAATTTTTCTAGTATTCCTAGTTGGAGTATATGGTAGGATTGGCAGACTCCTTGCGGCTTCTATGACTAAAAACAAATTCTTGAAATGATATAAAAAAAAAACAAAATTCGAGGAAGATTCAAAAAGTTGCACAGGATCATTATTGCATGGGATGGCAACATGCAATGATAGGGGGGTGGCATGGAATTCCCCCAAGCAATTATTAGTTATTAAGAACACTTCACACATAAGGCCAATATCCCTTAAGCAGGGGTAAGGGGGACAAGGAGGGTGTCCAAAAACACGTAATAATGATCCCTCTTCATTCCTATCTAATCAGCATGCAATTGGATATGAATCTCAGGTCAAATGGCCTAATAATACAAATCAGATGACGGTGTCAAGGATTCGGAGAAATGAAATTGTTGCCCGTATATAGCGGTCAGAGAAATTACGCCATCATTTTCTAGGATTTTTTTTTTTTGGGGTATCTTTGTACAATGTATCAATAGACAAGGACGTCCTAATTATACGTAATGAAGTTGGGGTAATGCATGGTGAAAACCAAGCAAAATAGATAGGCTGAGGGGACAGTTCACATGGAAAGATTCATTCATGAGGTGGAGATCATGGAGAGGGTATTTGGTAAACCCAACCAAAACATATAGTATTATTCAAGGCTCAGTTTCTTTGTTCTTTTATTTGCACAATAATAATAATGAGGGAGAGACAGATATGGCAGATAGGGCGTATTGAAGGCTCTACGATGGAATCCTATGCTAGTTTATAAATTAGAGTGACAGAGACAGAAATGGGTACAAAAATTGCCAACGAAGGTCTTAGGCTAAATGCATTGTACTACAATTAATTATAGCTGACTGCGAGCCAAGCTGGTCGTGAGTAGTTCGGTCAATTGCTCGGCTCGAATTCGGGTTGACCAAGTTTGAGTCCGAACTTGAACTATTCGATTGGAAAGCAAATCGAATTTTGAGCCCAGATATATGCTACTCAAGCTCGACGAGCTACTTGTCGAGTACTTTTTAATTTAAACATTATATTTTTTTTTTAAATACAAAATTATCACTAAGGGTTTATGCTTTCAGATGATTTACAAGCTGATTTGCATACCTAATAAAACTCTTGAATGGCAAAAAAGTAATAGAATTTGAAGTAGACACAATATAATTTCATTCGCCAAGTTTTGAACTTAAAGGCTCAAAAATGAGGTCTGATTGAGTTTCTATACTTGAAAGCATCATTGAGTACTCAAACTTGATATGCTCGATCCTGATTCAAGCCATATCGAGTCGAGTTTGAGTTTTATACCGTTTTAGTAAGTGGAGTTCAATTCTCTATTCTCGAACTTATCAAGTTCGAACTCGAGTCGAGCAGGGCATCAATAGTGTTTGAGTTGAGTTCGGGTATAGAACTACTCAAGTTTGACTCAACTTGTATACACCTGTAACTACAAATTTTCGCTTGAAAATTTGACCAGTAGAGATCAAAATGAAATATTAAAAAATACTAAGCACTTGTGGCAATTTGCATCATGTGAGACGATTCCAAATATGCCCTCATACTGAAAACGGAATTGATTTAAGAAATATGGATCTTTATGAACGGAAAAAAAAGAGTAAGTGTATTTGGTGTTATCCGTAGATAAAGCGTTACTCATAGGTCAAAAAAGACACCGACTCAAGTTTATCAGCTTTTTTTTAGTTTTGCTTTTTTTTTTTTCTTTTTGGGGGAAAATGTTTCTAGGTAGCAACAAGTGCCACATTCTTGCCCCGTAGAGGAGAAGGAATAGAAAGAAATGGAAGTAAAATATCCAGGACTCTGGTATATATATAATATCTCATGGTTGAATTTTAGCTTTTCATACATCCAACAAACATATATTAGCATCTTACAGACACAACTATTCAATTTTGGGATCATCAGCGAACTTTTACATATACAAGACACCGACGAAGATTCGTGCAAACATGGAGAGGAAGAAAAAATTTGGTCGAATTCTTAGGAACAAACAATATCTCCTCAACATCTTTAATCTTGAATATCCTGCCAGATAATTTTTAATGAGATGCTTCTTAAGTTCACTGGGAATAAGAAAATCTAATGGAATTATTTACTGCAGGCAGGCTTTCTTAGAGCGCATGTAGTAGTGGTGGTGTCCATGCAGGTTGCTCTCACCTTTTTGAGCAATTCTTTGTCGGACAAACTCCATATTGCACCTTCGAATTCGTATGATTTTTTCACTTTACATTCTAAACTTCAAATTTAAATACTTTGCACATTAAATTCTTAATTTTAAACACTTTACATTCTAATCAATTAAGTTTGTTCTATTTAAATCTAGTCAGCGACAACTTCAGCAAAATTAACGGCATGTACGACTTATCAAATTAATGATAATATGCTGAAAGTTGTTAAAAGGTAGCAAGGTATCATAGCAAAAATAAAACAGTATATTGGAATTAATTTGTACCATCTTTTATCTAATTGATTTTGCTAGAAATATTAGCGATTGAAACTATATAAATCAATAATAATATGCTAAAATGGTCAAAAAAGCTAAGAGATCGCACTGAATGATACATTTTTATTGATTTTCACTACACCCCTTTACCTCATACATTTTGCAAGCAACATAATCATTGGTTATATTTAAACACGACAAACTTGAGAGTTTAGGGTGCAAAGTGCCCAAAATTAACGGTGTTTGGATTGCATTTTTCATGAAAAAATTACTGTAGTGATTTGATGTATGTAAGAGAAAAAGGTAATAGGAAAATGTGATCACGGAAAACAATGTAATTTTCCGACGGAAAACTGCAATCCAAACAAGGCAATTTGGATTGCAAAGTGAAAAGGTGATATAAGTTTGGGAGCGTAAAGTGAAGTTAGTCCTTCTTTCTTAATTAACTTAACGTAAGTTATAAGCTTGGATTCACAGGCCAATTCCAAAAAAGTTGAAACCATGAATTTCAGATCCAAGATTGATCAGCGTCCTTTCCTTCCTTGCACTGTCAAGTATCCAAGTCCTGCGATGTGCAATGTACAATGTGGGCTATTTAATTAATGAGTTGCAGCTTGTCATTTTCTAGTACTCATCATGCAAATTGGTAAATGTATCTCACCCTCTTCACCGTTTACAACCCAAGTTTACCTTAAAAAAAGAAAGAAAGAAAAAAAGAAAAATTGGTACTGCAATGGAGAACATTAATATTATCTAGGCAGCATAGAAACAAACTTG